CCCCCCCCCCCCCCCCCCCCTCCCTCATCTACATTTTCACCAGTTCGGTAACATGGATTGAAGAGGTGGAAATATTAGTGAAGTGAGTGAGAAGCCTACAGGCCTTCTTTGCAATCGTCCAAAAGCCCTCTCGAGCAGGCGGGCTCCGATGAGTGATCCTAGATGCTTTGGTTTATAACCCATGACTCACTGTACTATACGTGGTATGCATCGATAATGAAGAGGAGATTTATTTTGTCAAAATGATCCAGTTTAGTATGATTAGACCCACCGTTATAATGTGATTGCAAGTGATAAGTTTGTAGAAGGCTAGTAACTTTCATTCAATCTCGTCCCAAAACCAATGTGGTGAGGTGAGAGTACTGTTTTGTTTTTTCAAAGTGTTTTGAATTGTCGCAGCTCCTCACTGTGGACTCTATTCATATGGTAGAAGGAAAACTCGATTTTCTTTTAGAAACAATGTTGGGTCCTTCACAGGAATGACTTTTTCTAGTTACCCATGTCACACCCCTACTTCGTTATTGTAGTACGTTCGTTTAAATATTTCTGAAGCGCTTTTCTCGGTGAGGAGTTACCCCAGCGCTCTGAGGCTCGAGAAGGGACGTCAGGAGTCCTCACCACAGAGTGGAAGGACTAGAATATGCGGAAGACAGCGTCCAAACCAAGTAGCTTCCAATGGCTTTCGATCAATGTGTACACGGTGCACGTTTCTTGACAGTATTGACATACATATAAGACCCACCATCGAAAACCCTATCTCTGCAAAACTTTTGTTCCCCACGGTACTTTCCAAAATCGCATAATATCTGAAACGTCAAGCGTTGAGTCTGTATATGAGTGAGGGCGCCTACAGGATACGTGTAGGGTGCTTGAAGTGTCTGTTCGACGGTATGACGAAACATCATAACTTCGATTGAGGTCACAGAATACCATAAGCTTGATCGAGTCTGACTAGGTAGTTGTGCCCAAGTATCTCTGAATCATTCTCGTTCTGATTATTGCAGGGAACTTCCATCATTGTATGCGGCTAAGAAGTTGTGGAATTGATGTCAGTGTTGTTATTCATGTGGCTTCACTGTTGTGGGATCCTCCCTGTGTTCGTGTTTCTTTGTAATAAAGGTATGTTTTACTAGATTTCCTAAACAGTTGCGTCTAACAACAATTAAAATTATTACGATTATGTAATCAAGGTCGCCTAATCAACAAAGGCTGCAGCGATGAAAGCGTTGGAACCTGCCCATCACATTTTTTGGTGAGAGATACCTTCGTGAAAAACCGTTTCCTTATTATGAAAATACGTAGACGTTTGCTAGCTCAGTTGAAAATTACATTGCTCATGAACGTAGAATGTGGCTTTCTCTACAGCCGGTCTACAAAATTTGTGATATCAAGTGATAAGAAGCTCTAAATTACTGATTGTGATTTGGACTAACTGGCTATTACCACAACAACTGATGCGTACTGATCTTGTTGGCAGCATAGGGACTGGGAAAACCATTATGCTGGCCACCATTTTCTGTCATTCCCATCGATATCCAATTCCACTTACAAACTACCATTTTGTTAATGGTATCGTCTTAATTCCTTCAGCTTTATCAGCATTAGGTAGAAGCATGTATGGAAATGCATTTTCGTAGTGTGAGATTTAGCATGAAGCGATTGAAGGAGGAAACATTTTTCTTCAAACATATGTCTACTTGTCGTCGAGGCACCTCTGCAGCAGGAAATGATGTGAGCACAATACGAAATCATATGACATGCTCTAAAAATTTGAGCAGGCTTTAATGCAAAAGACATGACGAGTGATTAACACTTGGTGCATATACTATGTCTTCTTGAAACATAAACAAAGAAGACTTCTTCAGGACTGACCCCTTTCTCAATTAAGTGTTAGTTCCCAAAACTGGCGGCCATTTTGACTTACACTTTCATTTCCAGAGTTATGAATCTTCTACAAAGAAGTCCAACCATAGGTGTCCTGCAGGACGACGACATAAAAAGCGACGAAAAGCCAAAAGGAGAAAGAAACCGAAGAAATCTGTAGACTCCGTTGGTGTGAAAGGCAAGAGAGGTATATTTTTATGAACATCTAGGAGTCCACCATTATAGTAATATCAGAATCAGTTAGCGATATTCAGAATTCCCTCCTCCTCCTTCTCCTTCTGAATCGTCGAGCGAAGATGACGACACAGTAAAGGAGTGCATAAGCAATTGGGGTAAAGAAATGCCCTATGTGAAGGGTAAGGGACGACCTCTAACTTTGAAAAAGCGACGCAGCCAAGGGGACTTCCTACCAGAGGCTCCAGATGACCATCCCGAGATTTTACAAGAAAACGAAACACAACGAATAGCTGACTACGGCAATGAAAACTATGGAGGCTCTTATGAGTTATTCCGGGAACAAGATGGAAAATTCGAAGACGTCTGTAGGGAACTACAAGTAAATGCTTTCATGAATGCTGAACAGAATACCCAAATGTTTGGCGAAGATGCTCCGTTTGGTTCAACACCGCCTTCTGAGGAAGTAAAGTCTGCCAGACTTATTCGAGTGGAAGAAGCGGATCCTCTAAAAACTGCATCTGAAGAATTAGTCACCCCTCCGATGGACGAACATTGCGATGAGAAACAACCACAAAAATGGGATTCTTTGAAAAATCTATCTCGAGAACGGCTTCACCCTACCTCTTCGGAAGATAAAATGCAATTAATGCGACAAAATAGGAAGACTTTTTCTAAAGAAGGCTCAGACAGGAACCGTGAACAAAGGGAGAAACGGAGAGACCATAAGCCGTCAAAAGTAGATTTCAACAAAGGAGAACATGAACTGCCGAAAGAGCCAAAGAAAGAAAAATCGCCTTCGAAAAATTTGGATCATGCAAACAGAAATTTGGATTACAAGCAGAATGTTAGATTGGGGAATGATGCATACGGGAAGGGTTTCTTCAAAAAACATCCTAGAAAATCGCCGCAAAGACGACCTGAATCTCCTGTTGCCAACATCAACTCAGCAGAAGCACTAAAAGTGTGCCACGTTCCCTTACCGAAAATGCAAGCAAGTATTGCAAGTGGATCAAACGAGGCCGTCCAAAATATAAAAAAGCCTACACAGAAGAATAAACCAACTGCAAAAAAGTCGTAAGTTAATGCATAATATCTAAGCAACGTTGTTGTTGATACTCAATCAAACATGAACTAACATCCATCGTTCTGAGGAGTATGAACGTTGATTATATTGCCAAATCCCTGCAAGGATGGATTCGTCACCATACCTTTTGCTGAAGCTCTTCCTTCGTTTTCCCAATAGCTTGGTTCCGCCCCGTCGCAGGGTCCGCTATTCTTGTCAGGCTACTTCTGTGATCTTCTGCCGTTAGGTCAGCATCTGCGAGATGCTCCTTGGTCACGTATTGACAACCATTCTTCAGGGTTACTCATGGTCGCTTTCAGTGAGCCTTGGACACTGCTTCACTTACTGGGTGAATCGGTACTACTCTCACCACGTACCCATACAATTGTAGACACTATTATCTCTTCTTCGACTAGACAAGGATCAATCGCATGAACGATCTGACGTCTTCGTTTCTAATCAAATCTATTCGTTTCCATCTGCATCCCCATCCGATCATTTTCGCTTTAGTGGAGTTAAGCTGTCTTTCATGATGAAGAGGCAACGAGTCAGTTCTCCGTCAGTCAAGCCAGCACCTTGATATCCTTTTCAGTTTTAAGCGACCATCTTTTTACGGGCACATTGTCTTTTCTGTTTCTTTGCTTCCTTTGCTGTGGGTTACCTTCCGAGCCTTGTTTTTTTTTTGAAAAGATAGTGCTACGCACTGCTATATCATGGGCTGTGGCCAGGTGGAAGGCCCTTCCTCTCTCCTTCTCCGTTTTTGACTCCTATTTCTCCACCTCCATATACCTTGTTTGCAGGTCTCTCCCTTCCCTGCCGACCAGTTGCATGTCCGTCTAGATCACTCACTATAGTGAGAGATTCCTCTTTCGTAACTGATCTGATGACATCGTCAAGGCTTAAAGGAACTCTTTCCGCACTCAGTGCAGCCGAATAGGGGTACGCACACTGGTATCATAGTCTTGTACCCCTCTTTGCGTCTCTCCGCTGATTAGTTTATCTCTCTAAACATATAGTAGAGGGCCAATTTTGTGTGACTATTTGTATGCCGTTTTTTGGTCTGTCCGCAAAAAGTTACTTTGGTGCAATGAGACTATGGACTGTCATTTGGGCGCGGTGAGGAAGGCGCTATGAGAGAGTTTCCTGATACGTTTTAACTGTTATCCTAACCAGTAAGGATTATGTCGCAACGTCCTCGAATGGGAATCTTAAATACCTGCTTTTCTGTCGAACAATGAACTTTAATCGGTTGTTATCACAAACATTGCGGTCAAAGCTGCAGAAAAGAGAGGAGGCAGGGTGAAACAATTCTTGAGTTAGCATCGGACATCATTAAACACTCTGTTCACTGATCTCCGTTAATCTTTTTGCACGATTTCCTACTATTGAATTCGAGCGCAATTTTCACGGTGAATTTTCATGATCGATACGCACTCGAAAACACACTTCGCTCTTGAATACTACACCCTACATGCGCGACTTCTAGACTTGAAACCTAAGAGGACTTAGTGTGAAGCAGTGGCATGTATACGAGTATGAAAAATGTTCCTACATTCCTCTTGGATAAGATCTCGATAAGCGGTAGTGGGAACGCGTCAGCACGCATAGCCCAAATGGTATACACTGCGGTGCACAATACATCGTACCCCATAGAAAAAAAAGTTTTAGAGAGAGGTCAAAGTTTTTATTGCTTCTACCGTCAATATATGATTAGAATTGGGAAAGATTTTTTTCGTAGTAACTATTTGACTACACAATTTCTTTCAAGTTCTAAGCAATAGTTTTACACTTTTTAAGTCGGTGCATATTAGATTGGACGATATGCCGATAGCCAAACAAAAAAATAACGCCTGAAATCCGACAATCCGTTTTCTAATGCAAGATTATCTAATAGTGATCCTTTCTCTCGAATAAGCTCGAAGATTCGATCAGGCATCGAATCGCAGAGCTTCTTTAAAAGAACAGGCGACAGACTCTTCCACTCATATTTATGGCTATCCTCAACGATTTAACATTGTCGTACACTCTACCATTTGCATAGATCTTACGCACTAATACACCCCAGATATTTTCGATAGGGTTTGGGTCTGGGCTGCATGCCGGCCATGATAATAACGGGATGTTATTGGACTGCAAATAGGATAGAGTACTCCGTGCAGCGTGAATCGAAGCGCTGTCTTGCATAAAGACGTAGTTTTTGTTGGTGCTCTTCTGGATGGATGACACCAACGTTTTGCCAAGAAGTGACTGGCTTGTCATTTCACAAGACTTGAGTTGAATACCAACGGTGCCATCAAAAAACGCTCCCCAGACCATTAACGAGAAGCCGCCGAAGTTCTTTCGGGACATAATTAGTGGTTCTTTCCGCAGATCGCGCCATTACGAGTGGTTCTCTTCTGGCCCATCTTCGTTGAATTTCTTTTCACCAGAAAAAAATAATAACTTGAAAAAAGACAGAAAACTCAAATTTCTCGTAAAGCCAAGCAAGTTCCAAAAACGGACCTTTGTCCAATCTCTGTTCATCTCATTACTAGCGAGGACGAGCCGTTCCTCTCGATGACTCTGTGTTGGCCGTGGCGCAGACTTCATGTTCTGAGAAGCTATGTGGTCCGATGACTTCAGGACGCGAGCAACAGTCCATTTTGAAACCGAAATCCCACAATCTGCAGCCAACTTCCTCGCAGTTCTCGTAAAGTTTTATGCCATATTGATCAACCGACGCTTGTCGCGTTCAGAAAGAGCTGGTTTTCGTCCTGGCTTCTTTTTAGTAACATTTGTTGATTGCTTCTTTGCGACACTCGCAACTGTGCTTTTAGGAATGTTGAATTCTCTAGAAATTTGAAGATATCTTTTTCCAAGATGATGTAATGCGTCTATTCGAATCCGGTCTTCGTTCGTAAGTCGCGTATACATGCGCATGCTTAAAAAACGATCGTATAAGCATGGCGACTTCCAGATACAGGGAAGAAAAAATCGAATAAATCAATTATCTCAAGTCGTCCAATCTATTGTGCACCGCAGTGTACCATAGTATACTCACGGCCATGATCCTGTTGACAACAAAAACGGAGTGTTTGAGGGACTCGGACACTGCTACGGCACACCATTTGTTGTCTCTAAGTCCTTTGTAATAGAAAGATTCCCTTTCCGATTTTTCTGACCATTGCTATTTTCCAAGGCGTCTCCTGAAGGCATGAGACTTGGGTATTCCTGCGTTTTAATAAACCAGCGACATCTCGAGTATTCCAATAAGCACACTCACATTAAGGTCTCGATTCAAACTAACTTCTTCTTTAACCGTGGTCGTTCACTCCTCTTTGCCTTAATGCCTTAATATACAGTACCGTTCAAAAAGAAATCACCTTGAACCTTTC